ATCAGTTTCAATAAGAATAAGATTGGGAGTCACGCACAGCAGTGTTCAAAGATTAAGCTACCAGAACCAACCCTCGGGGATATATCTAAGGTATATGGCATGTAGTGTGAGTTGATTGTTAATTGAGAGCAATTTTTGGAGCCTTTTCGAAAATTATTGTTTTCTTACAGTGCCCGAGATTTTATTGTTGGACAAGGGCTATATAATCTTTGCTCTATAAGCCTTTGCTTTTTTTGAATTGGCTTGTTTTAAAGTATTTGTCGAAAATGCCTTAAACTTTATGCGTAGCATAAGGACATCAATATGTATCAGAAAATGTGATAAAAATTGGCAGTGATTTTGGAGCCATTTTTGGAAAAAAACCATGGGCTATAGCCTTTCCTTTTTTTCAAAAAATTGGCTTGTTTCTAAAAATGCTAAAAACTCGAAAAATATTTGTAGGAAACGCCTCAAACTTTCTGCATAGCATAAGGACATCAATATGTATCAGAAAATGTGATAAAAATTGGGAGTGATTTTGGAGCCATTTTTTGGAAAAAAACCATGGGCTATAGCCTTTCCTTTTTTTCAAAAAATTGGCTTGTTTTTAAAAATGCTAATAACTCGAAAAATATTTGTAGGAAACGCCTCAACTTTCTGCATAGCATAAGGACATCAATATGTATCAGAAAATGTGATAAAAATTGGGAGTGATTTTGGAGCCATTTTTGTAAAAAAAACCATGGGCTATATATAGCCTTTGCTTTTTTCAAAAATTGGCTTGTTTTTAAAAATGCTAATAACTCGAAAAATATTTGTAGGAAACGCCTCAAACTTTCTGCATAGCATAAGGACATCAATGTGTATCAGAAAATGTAATAAAAATTAAGAATCATTTTTTGGCATGTTTTTGATGCATGGCTGTTTGAAAAATAATGCTGATTGTACACGTACATGTTTCAAAATTATCTATATTTTCATTCATGTAACTCAAACTTGTGTGTCAGTAGTAACAAGAGTACATAATGTAGTCTTGGTTGTAACTATCATAACTTGTTGTATTCATTCTCCTTCCTCTTCCTTTAGGCTAATGAGATATTGAAATGGTCGGGTCACCTCAAAATGAAATTACATGTAAGAGCTGCACTCTATTACACTAATATAAATCCATTTAAATATACATGTACATGTACACCAATAATCATTGTTACATGTGTGTATGTACATGTACATGTAGTTGACTATTTTGTTTTGCTTTTTTAGGGACAGAATTACTCCATTATTGGTTACTTGACTGCTAAAATGGACAGCGAGGAAAGATTTATGTAAGCTGCTACAAAAACTGATGAATACTTCCATGTTAATATTTTCTTCCTTAGTCATTCCGGCTCCTGGTCCAGTAACATTAATCTCATTCCACTGACTGGCTCTGCTTCTAGAATATTCTGGAAGACTCTACAAGGCCCAGAGGTCAAACCGCTTGACCTTTTCTTCAACGTGTTAGTCGTTGACTCTCGCTCTGCTGCTTTCCAGAAACTAACAAAGAAAAAGATTGTAAGTTACTCAAAATACACGTACACGTACACGTATAACATCAATTTTATTTGTGAGTAATTTTAATTTTTTGAGAGAAGGATTTATTTTTAATATTCTATTTCTAATTTTAGAATGCAGTGACTGGCCTAAAGCCTAAGATTACATCTGGTAGGAGAGAGCTCACTATTTTGTACATTTACTGGAGCGACACTGAGAAAAGAATGAAGGCTTGTGTGGCTGAGCTTCAGAACTATTTAGTCAAAGAAATGCAGGTTTGCTTCCTTGCTGGTTTTTAGCATTTTGGATATTTAAATTTTATTTTTATTAGAATAAACTTCAGCAGCTGAAGAGAACCTCACAACTGAATGAAATCACACTGGAGGTATAATAATAATGATGATAATAATAATAATAATAATAATAATAATAATAATAATAATAATAATAATGATAATAATAATAATAATGATAACAGGGCACCTTTTTTCAAGGGCTGTAAATTTCACGAATTTACCTAAAAATCTATTTTGCGAATTTAATTTTTGAGAATTTATGCTGTCTGCCATCTTTTACCGTAATAATTTGATTTTTGCAGAAGTAATTTTTGCAAATCTTCAAAAAATTGCAAAATCTGTGAAATATACGGCCCTTGAAAAAAGGGACCCTACGGTAATAGTAACAATAGTACATGTTCATTGTAAATTTATACATATACAGCATGTAAATATATCATTGTACTTGAAAAAAATATTTGTTAGATGTGCCCTTTTTATTACTAAAATCTTTCTCCCCCCCCAGACCTCAAGGTCAGGGTCCCACAGGGGTGGTTCCTCCAGTCGCTCAACTGCTCCTGGCCCTACTAACCACTCCTCTCAACCTGGCACTGATCGCAGAGGAGGCGGAGCATCGTACCTAGA